TTCCCTCCCCCCTCTCTCTCTCTATCTCTCTCTCTTTCTCTTCCTCTTCCTACCCCCTCTCTCTCCCCCTACCGCTCCCACCAGCTTACAGAGAGACACGTTACCTCATCACCACCCAGAAACTGGTTATGGTAACAACCTTAGCCCAAGACCTCCTCCATCATTCACAGGGACAGCCCGTGACCCGTGACCCCGTGACCCATGACCCCGTGCCACTGACACCCTTCCCCAGTCTCTTCCGCAAAATGTTCATCTTTGCAAAGCCAAACAACGTGAGGAACACAATAACCAAAGAACAAATACAAACATTCTCAGTTTTAGTTTTAGTAGAGGTTTTACGGCGCTCACAACTGCATACGGTCATATGAACGCCAGAAGATTAGAGCTGTTACAAGAGAGTAACAAACATAAAAAAAGAAGAAAGGGAGATAAGGACGATAGATGTTTGATAGGAAAGAAGGAGCAAACCACACCAGAGTACCCGTCAACCACCCACCTAGATACAAACATTCGAAATAAAAAGAAATGACAGAGTGGCAAAGCTGAAGAGTGAGATAGAAACATAGAGAGAAATAGAGAGGGGGGGGGGTTGCACTGCATATTTTGTTTGGGTTTGTTTTGTTTTGTTTTGCGTGAAGAGATATACAAACATTCACACAATAATGGACACTGAGAGCTGCAAAAATGTAATACAGGCAGACAGAAACAACAAAGGGACATAAAGAAGTAGGACTTACGAGGGACACCCACCAGACACCCGCTGAGTGGGACAGAACAGACGTCAAAAGGACATAGTAAAGCACAAACTTACCCGGCAACAAGTACCAGACAGTTAGGAAGCCAAGAGGTATCTCCACTCACCACCCAAGGCCTTCTACTAAGCCCTCATCTGGCCGAAAGTTACCAACAAAGTGCAACAACAACTCGCAAAATACACTGTTGTCTGTAGACACCAACTCAACAGAAACTACTGTCCCCCTGTACCTCATCCACTTGGACATACAGGCGACCCCACGACTGGTATGATATTCACACATCATTATTTCATTAGGTATCACCGGCGGTTCATCACGGTAGAGATTTTCTGTTCTAACCACATGCGCTTGTTGTGTAAGAACAGAGCTTTCCACAGCACCGGCTGACTGTCTGGCCTGAGAGGGTTTTTT